TGAGGAACCTTTTCCTCAACGTCCGGAAACTTCTCCTCAGCGTCAGAAATTTTGTCGTAGTCGAGAGTAAAAGTCGAGAGTCGAGAGTAAAAAGTCGAGAGTCCGGGAGTAAAATGTCGAGAGTCGATCGAGAGTAAAAGTCGAGAGTCGACGAGAGTAAAAAGTCGACAGTCGGCAAAATTGTCATCAGAAACAACAAAGTCAAAATATTTTTAACACAATATATATACCGACCCGTAACAACGGCTGATTATAGCAGTACGGGCGGGGGGGGGAGGCAGTCCCGCCTCCCAGTCAAAATAAAATCATGCAAATTATAAACGTATAAATTCGGGCAAAAGTTGAGGGAAATAAATTTAAAAAGAAAACAGTACATGCAATATGGTATTTGAAAATACCAGAAATATGTAAAAGTAACGAGGAATCGACAAATAGGAAAATATTTTTGTCTACTTCCCAACGACAATTTTGGAAATTTAGTTACACGGAAAATTTTATTCAGTGGGTAAAAGTCGGGTAAATTTCTTTCTGGCTCCCTACCTGATTTTTCCCGCCCGTACGCCTATGACGGCTGAACTAATTTCATTTCCCGTGTATCGGAACATAAAGCAAACAATATTTGCGAAACATAATTTAGTAAGCTCAAATTCTCGAAATTAAAGTAAACAAGAGGCATATACATGCAATCAAAGGAATAATCCAATATAATATAAAACAAAAACTTTCGCAAAAATTTAGCCACAACATTCAGTAATAATAACTATTATCTATAAATAACAACTAGTTTTATCGCTTCCTTATATATTACTGTCCATCCTTCGGTATTCCTTCCCGCTTTTACATGCGTCAGTTAGAATGAAATGACATGTGAAAAGGCGGGGGGCCACCGCAAAGAGGGCTAAAAACAGTCTTTTCGAGTGCAAATGGGGGGGGGGGTACGTCGGAAATTTCAAAGTTTTGTCGGAAATTTAGGAGGCTTTGCTCCCCCCCGGAAAAAGTGAATTTCCGCCACTAATTATTGACTGTTGTAGGACTTGTAGCAAATACTAGCAATGGAAAGTTTGTATTTCAGCCGTTGGTACTTGTTACGGAATGGCTATGTAAAGCTATATATATATATATAGATTGTGTTAAACGTGGTTAAAAAATAAAAATATTTTGACTTTGTTGTTTCTGATGACATTTGCCGACTCTCGACTTTTTACTCTCGATCGACTCTCGACTTTTACTCTCGACTCTCGACTTTTTACTCTCGACTCTCGACTTTTACTCTCGACTCTCGCTTTTACTTCGACTCTCACTTTTACTCTTCGACCTTTACTCTCGACTCTCGACTTAGATACACTCCCCCAGCCTTAGGAACCTTGTCCTCAGCGTCAGGAACCTTGTCCTCAGCGTCACGAACCTTGTCCTCAGCGTGAGGAACCTTTTCCTCAACGTCCGGAAACTTCTCCTCAGCGTCAGGAACCTTGTCCTCAGCGTCAGGAACCTTGTCCTCACCGTCCGGAACCTTGTCCTCAGCGTCAGGAACCTTGTCCTCAGCGTCAGCAACCTTGTCGTCAGCGTCAGGAACATTTGCCTCAGCGTTACGAACCTTGTCCTCAGCGTCAGGAACCTTGTCCTCAGCGTCAGGAACCTTGTCCTCAGCGTCAGAAATCTTGTCCTCAACTTGGGAACCTTGTCCTCACCGTCAGGAACCTTGTCCTCAGCGCCAGGAACCTTGTCCTCAGCGTCAGGAACCTTGTCCTCAGCGTGAGGAACTCGTGCTCACTCAGCGTCAGCAACCTTGTCTTCAGCGTGAGGAACCTTGTCCTCAGCGTCAGGAACCTTGTCCTCAGTGTTAGGAACCTTGTCCTCAACGTTAGGAACCTTGTCCTCAGCGTCAGGAACCTTGTCCTCAGCGTCAGGATCCTTGTCCTCAGCGTTAGGAACCTTGTCTTCAGCGTCAGGAACATTGTTGTCCTCAGTGTCCGGAACCTTGTCCTCATTGTCCTCAGCGTCCTTGTCCTCAGCGTCAGGAACCTTGTCCTCAGCGTCAGGGACCTTGTCTTCAGTGTGAGGAACCTTGTCTTCAGCTTGAGGAACCTTGTCCTCAGCGTTGGGAACCTTGTCCTCAGCGTCAGGAACCTTCCCTCAGCGTCAGGAACCTTGTCCTCAGTGTCCGGAACCTTGTCCTCAGCGTCAGGAACCTTGTCCTCAGCGTTAGGAGCCTTGTTCTCAGCGTCTGGAACCGTGTCCCAGCCTTAGGAACCTTGTCCACAGCGTCAGGAACTTTGTCCTCAGCGTCAGGAACCTTGTTGTCAGCGTCAGGAACCTTGTCTTCAGCCCTTAGGAACCTTGTCCTCAGCGTCAGGAACCTTGTCCTCAGCGTTGGGAACCTTGTCCTCAGCGTCAAGAACCTTGTCCTCAGCGACAGAAGTCTTGTCCTAGCGTTGGGAACCTTGTCCTCAGCGTCAGGAACCTTGCCTCAGCATCAGGAACCTTGTCCTCAGCGTCAGGGACCTTGTCTTCAGCGTGAGGAACCTTGTCTTCAGCTTGAGGAACCTTGTCCTCAGCGTGAGGAACCTTCACCTCAGCGTTAGGAACCTTGTCCTCAGCGTCAGGAACCGTGTCCCCCAGCGTCAGGAACCTTGTCCTCAGCGTCAGGAACCTTGTCTTCAGCGTGAGGAACCTTATCCTCAGTGTGAGGAACCTTCTCCTCAACGTCCGGAACCTTGTCCTCAGCGTCAGAAACCTTGTCCTCAGCGTCAGGAACCTTGTCCTCAGCGTCAGAAACCTTGTCGTCAGCGTCAGGAACCTTGTCCTCAGCGTCAGGAACCTTGTCTTCAGCGTGAGGAACCTTGTCCTCAGTGTTAGGAACCTTGTCCTCAACGTCCGGAACCTTGTCCTCAGCGTCAGAAACCTTGTCCTCAGCGTCAGGAACCTTGTCCTCAGCGTCAGGAACCTTGTCTTCAGCGTGAGGAACCTTGTCCTCAGCGTCAGGAACCTTTTCCTCAGCATCAGGAACCTTGTCTTCAGCGTTGGGAACCTTCTCCTCAGCGTCAGGAACCTTGTCCTCAGCGTCAGGAACCTTGTCCTCACCGTTCGGAACCTTGTCCTCAGCGTCAGGAACCTTGTCCTCAGCGTCAGGAACCTTGTCGTCAGCGTCAGGAACATTGTCGTCAGCGTCAGGAACCTTGTCCTCAACGTCAGGAACGTTGCTGTCAGCGTTAGGAACCTTGTCCTCAGCGTCAGGAACGTTGCCCTCAGCGTTAGGAACCTTGTCCTCAGCGTTAGGAACCTTGTCCTAAGCGTCAGAAACCTTGTTCTCAGGGTCAGGAACATTGTCGTCAGCGTCAGGAACCTTGTCCTCAGCGTCAGGAACGTTGCCCTCAGCGTTAGGAACCTTGTCCTCAGCGTTAGGAACCTTGTCCTAAGCGTCAGAAACCTTGTTCTCAGGGTCAGGAACCTTGTCCTCAGCGTCAGGAAGCTCGTCCTCAGCGTGAGGAACCGTGTCCTCAGCGTTAGGAATCTTGTCCTCAGCGTTAGGAACCTTGTCCTCAGCGTCAGGAACCTTGTCCTCAGCGTCAGGAACCTTGGGCTCAGCGTTACGAACCTTGTCCTCAGCGTCAGGAACCTTGTCCTCAGCGTCAGGAACCTTGTCCTCAGCGTCAGAAATCTTGACCTCAACTTGGGAACCTTGTCCTCACCGTCAGGAACCTTGTCCTCAGCGCCAGGAACCTTGTCCTCAGCGTCAGGAACCTTGTCTTCAGCGTCAGGAACCTTGTCCTCAGCGTCAGGAACCTTGGGCTCAGCGTTACGAACCTTGTCCTCAGCGTCAGGAACCTTGTCCTCAGCGTCAGGAACCTTGTCCTCAGCGTCAGGAACATTGTCATCAGCGTCAGGAACCTTGTCCTCGGCGTCAGGAACCTTCCCCTCAGCGTTAGGAATCTTGTCCTCAGCGTTCGGAACCTTGTCCTCAGCGTCAGGAACCTTGTCCTAAGCGTCAGGAACCTTGTCCTCAGCGTCAGGAACCTTGTCCTCAGCGTGTGGAACTCGTGCTCAGCGTGAGCGACCGTGTCCTCAGCGTCAGCAACCTTGTCTTCAGCGTGAGGAACCTTGTCCTCAGCGTCAGGAACCTTGTCTTCAGCGTTAGGAACCTTGTTCTCAGCGTCAGGATCCTTGTCCTCAGCGTTAGGAACCTTGTCTTCAGCGTCAGGAACATTGTCCTCAGCGTCAGGAACCTTGTCCTCAGCCGTAGGAACCTTGTCCCCAGCGTCTGGAACCTTGTCCTCAGCGTCTAGAACGTTGTCCTCAGCGTCAGGAACCTTGTCCTCAACCTCGTACCCAGGCTCTTACCTTCGCACGCCCCAAGCTGCGGAAAGACCCTGGTGCCGGCTGGTCACGTGGCTCCCAGGATATTCAATTACCAAGGGAGGGATGGACAAATCTAAATTACAATGCTTCCACTTTGCAATAGTAAAATTCGTTGGCAAGGAGCGGACGTATTGGTTTGAATTGCAAAAAGTGTAATTTGAGAGCACTTTATATCGCAATTTGTCATTGTATAATTTGTATTGAATACTTCGAGGAATACTTCTTGTCAAATTGACAATTATGCGCGCGTTTGTGTTCTTTTTGTCATTCACATGCTGCCAGGCCATAGAAGCAAAGTTGATAATTTCAACGGAGACTCGAACGGAGATGCTCGAGTTTCATTGCATTTCTTGCTTGTTTGGAATTCGTTGTTCTAAATAGCGCATTTCATAACAACATACTGTACTGAAGCCGAACCAACTAAGCAAGTTCTTTGTTTGGAAAGTATTTATTTATTCAATTTCGCCAGGTTAAATTACACGATTGATAACATTGTGTTCAAACTTCGACAAGAGTTGCAATTTAAACATACAGATCTCCGTGCTCTTGGGTCCTGCATCAAAACAACTGTGCAGGGCTTTCAAATAATACTGTCGTAAAGCACACGAGCAAATTTTATTTTGACAAATTTTATTTGATCAAATGCATTTGATCAAAAGCTAGCATGCTAGCTTTTGTTCAAATTAAATGCATTTGTCACAATAAATTTGTCACAAATTTATCATCTACACGAGCAAAATATCTTTGACATTCAATTTGCCCGTATAAACGGGCCTTAACAAACTCTTAAATGTACTTAAACATATATTATTTATTCGACAAAAGATGTTATTTATAATTTGTATCCTGCCAACGCTTTCTATGGAAAGTCTCTGATTTTCATCTGACCCATTGTTGATGTTTGCAAGGGATCGTATTTAATAAACAAGTCCATTTTCTTTCTCCATGGAAATCATTTGAGATATCTACTCAGGACGGTTCGTGTATTGTTATAGTTGTGTCTCCCTTGAATTCACTGATACAAGATCAAATATCTCGACTGAAATCAAGTGGCCTTCGGGCGTCTGCCATTCTATAAATATTCGCAAAAAATATTCCATGGAGAAATCACAATTGGATTGTACATTTTGGGTTTAAATGGGGATTACTAACATACGTATACGGATGACTATATTATTAATTGCGGTAAAGTATATTGGTAGATGATATTCATAAACAATTGACTTACTTCTGTTGACATGGGTAAAGGTGTAGCAGATCTAATTTCATCACTCGAGGAGGACACATTGACAAAGTCAGTGTAAAAGCCAAACTGCGCCTTCGACTTTCAACTGCAGCAACATTTGCCGAACATCTGGCAACGGATAGAAAAACTTCAGGGCATCGCTTGGATCGTGAATCTTTTACTAATGATTTCTGTGTTTCGGAAATTACATTCTTGAACGTCGTTCACAAGGACGGCACTCGATCGGCAGATCAAATAAGGAAAATCATCAACATGCGGCAGTCTCTCGCCATGAATCAACTCCGTGTTATTCAAAATTCTTTAATTTGTTTTGTTGAAGAGATTCTTACAATGTATCTGATCTTGTACACCATTATATAATCGACAACGATAACTATTTTCAGTTGATCCAGGAGATCTTTTTGTTAAATTTCTTTGGCGTGCTTTTGCTAAGCCGATATAGTGACAGTGAAATATGAGATATTTGTAATCCTTGAGAGTAATATGATACTCTTTCGGCTGCAACACATGATTAATCTGTTGTTTTAACATTTCGTCAAGAAAAAATCTTTTATTATTGTCTCGTACAGTTAGAATTTTACTATTTTACAAATTCAGAAACAATTTCAATACGTACAAATCATTTCTACCACCCCTCCCTGAATAGCAATTTATTTTAGCACCCAAAATCTGGGAGCCACGTGACCAGCCGGCACCAGGGTCTTTCCGCAGCTTGGGGCGTGCGAAGGTAAGAGCCTGGGTACGAGGTTGCCTTGTCCTCAGCGTTAGGAACCTGGGCCTTAGCGTCAGGAACCTTGTCCTCAGCGTTAGGAACCTTCTCCTCAGCGTCTGGAACCTTGTCCTCAGCGTTAGGAACCTTGTCCTCAGCGTCAGGAACCTTGTCCTCAGCGTCAGGAACCTTGTCCTCAGCGTCAGGAACCTTGTCTTCAGCGTCAGAAACCTTGTTCTCAGCGTCAGGAACCTTGTCCTCAGCGTCAGGAACGCGTCCTCGGCGAAAGGTCTCCCGAAGTTTTTACTCGTGTGCAATCGGGTGAGATCATATAAATTTGATTATCGCGTATCATGTTTATTATAAATATTATAAAATAGGTCGAAATAAACAAAGCACAGTTCACGAAACTGACATCCTTAATTCTCATTTCATGGAGCATTTTTATCAATAATCACGCCTCACGTCTGTAGAACAAATCACATTTCACGACACTAAAATCAAGCATTTCACGCGAACAAATATTGACCATTCACCGCGCACGAAAATACCCTTTCCCACCCTCCTTGTTCAGTTTGACAGTGAATTGAATATTTAGAAAGCGATACTTTATAGTAAAACATTAAAAATATGGAATATAAACGGAAACACCTACCTATTTCAAACGATCCAGTGCTGATTGCTGAAATACATCAACATTTGACAAGGGACCAAGGGCCACAAGGCGAAAAACCCAACGATATCTGCCAAATCAGTTACAACCAGCAACTACAGTGTCCCGTAAACGTTGACAAAACACAAACATTTCTCGTAGTCTTGTATTTCGGTTAATTTTTCATCGAATATTTGTAAAAATTGCAACAGCGAAAGGACACGTGCGCTGTATTTTGACTTTTTATAAAATTTCAAAAGTACTCGGGCGGAAAATCCGCCTTAGGCTAGCGGTTTGCTAATCCTGAGTTCTCAGTACTTTATCTTGGGACCGTCATTTTATAAGTATTTGTTGTGCGCGGATTGTTGTTAATTGAACATTTATCTCGCGTCAATGTCGCCTTTTGTTTACCGCCAAAACCATAGAAGTATTTTTCTATGCAAGTTTTCTTTTGCAAACGTACAAACGAACAAATTATACTTGTCCACTGAAAAGCTGGCATGCAAATTTTGTATTCTTTTTTATTGCATGCGGAAATTGCCACCATTTTTGGCCCAAATGTGATAGCAATACAAGATTCCCCTTGTTACGTTTTCATAGCGCTTTGCATTGTGGTTATAGTGGTATCACTGATATTCAAGATGGCTTATTTTTTGTCCTGACCCGTGCAGGAACATTTAAAACAGCTAGGGTCAGGTGCGCGATAGCCAACAGCAAAATATTCGCGAAAACATTCGATATTTTCATTCGAGGCCACTCTCTTTATCAGTGATACCACTATAACCGCAATGCAAAGCCCTACGAAAACGTAATAAGGGGAATCATCAATTTCCGCAAAATTTGTATTGCACGCAATACAAAAGTACACAATTGCAAAATTTGCGAACTTTGCAAGCCTATATTTTTCCGCATTTTACAACATGTTACGAGGCTTTATATAGGCAGTGAATCGTTATACAACTTTTGTAATTATTGTTACTAATGTTAATAGTTCTGCTTCAAAGTCTCTTCTTGTTAGTCCACTGGAGAGTCCACTGAGAATCCACTGAGGAATCATCCACTGACGAATTTGGGTTGTGCACACCCTTTTATACTAACAGTTGAGGGGATCTTTGCACACGTGATGTAGCAAGTGGTGTGATTTGTATCCAGCCAATCAACGTTGAGGTTTAAAAGTGTGGGTTGGCGTTACTAGCTCGTTCCAGCTCTCAAATTCTGTTTATTTAAGGCGTTGTCGCACTTGTCGAGTTGGTTCGCTGTTCAATCGATCAATATTAAAATATGTTCACAACTTAAAATACTTATCAAAATATCGTAGTAAAAACTTCAACCTATACCTATGTGAATCTTACTTTACCTACTAAACTAAATTTACTTACAATTTTATTGAACCAAGATTTTGATGACGTAATGTTATTATTACTCAACCGCGCGAAATATACCGAAGAATGATTGACAGAAAGGCCCTAAGCATGCACATTTTCCATGTCAAAGAAGAACCAGCCTTGGACTTTGAATTATGCAAACACAACAGCCCACCATGCAAGGCTATCGTCCACCTTTGACAAATTATTTATCTTGCCTAATGGACAGATAATTGACACTTTACACAAGTCCGAAATGAGATATATACCTTATCTGCGTTTTACAGCAAAAATGCTCATTATCTCTCCATTTGACGTAACTAGTATCTATATTTACCTGGGGTGCAAATTGAACTATTTTTATACTGCTTAGATATACTTTCGTAACAAACATTTCGAAACCAAGCTTTGTAATTTTACTAATTTTAGTATGCTCGTTCTGGCTGTGGTTATTTATTTGCATCTCCTTGCCTAATTTTAAAATTAGTCTATAAATTATAGTATAATTCGAATTATCTATTGACTTATTGTGACGTAGACTTGCCCACAAGGACGAACCGCGAGAAAAAGTGACTGGACTTTGGGAAAGTCTAATTGTGCCGTTTGTTAATTTTGTTTATGACCACCAAAATTGTCTCTTTCATTTCTGACTTGTGAAACATGCACCTGTTTATTTCTTTGTTTTAATTGAACTTTGAATTGCCAATTTGGCTATCTGAAAAACATTATGAAGAACACAACGAAAAAGTGAGAAACGTATTTAAAGGTAAAGTCAATTTAACTTTTTTTTATTTATAAGGAACGCTATTAATATATGGGAAAACACAAACAGAAAAAACAGCTCAGTGAGCCAGTTATGTTAGTGACCTGTTTGCTGTTGCAGAACAATTCCAAAACATCAACTCATAGTTCATGCATGAAACAAGATTAGACATTTACAAATAAAATGAATAATTATATCGTACAAATCATATAGGCAGCGCGCACAACATAGCTATAGGCGTGCCTAAATTAAATATTCCGAAAGTTAGCTTTACTTTAAAACTATCGAAATATTTTAAAAACTTATTATATTTGCCCGGGCTGCCTGCGTTTAAATAATATAAATTCGGTGGCTATAATGTATTGCCATTTTTTGTTTCTATTATCGAACGGGCTTTCGCGGGAAGAAAATAGCCCTGTCAGATCTGACCATTGGCATTGATATCAAAGGTTCGGCATGACTTCCGTCTTAACCCATCATTGAATGGAAGCACTCTTACCTTAAAGAAAAAATCGTCAGGCGTTAGACAGAGTAAAATAATAAAGCAGGACGCATTGCCCATGCACTTGAAGTGTTAACCGCTGTTTACATGATGCAAGGTGGGATGAGTTTGCCGGATGTATTGAAATAAGTCACTAGGTTAAACAAAAGTTTAAATGCTGGTTAACAGAACTCAAATGTTGTAGAGAAGATCTTGTAGTTCAAGAAGATTATTATTGCTGCTTGAACAACCTTTCGTTTACAGTTAACTATAATCTATCTCTAGAAAATAATGAAGTTTTTTGCTGAATTGTGTACCATGACTTATTTCAATATATCGAAATCGTCCCGCCTCACATCTCGTCCTGGCAAAGTGGGATCATATTATAAACAGCCACTAAGTTACATTGTGTTCATATCAGTGTATGCTTGATTTTCTTTGCTGACAATTGACAGATCGTATTCACCCAGCTTCAAGTACAACATCCAATGCATATGGTCCATTACAACAAAATGCTGGTGAAACAACACGCAAAAAAACCATCGCTACCAATTTTCTTGTTCGTCGCTTTTTCAACCATCATCGGCATTACACTGCTGCTTCTCACCCTTTTCTTCTCCGACACCTCATTAAAACTAACCCGTGTACCGTACGCGGCAGATGAAAAAATCCTTCTCCTATTCTGGTCCAAGTTATGGGGTTTCCCGGCGAAAAAGAGCGAAGGATTTCTTGAAAAAGGCATTGGCAAAGATCAGTGTCCAGTTGCGTGCGAGGTAACATCTAATCGTGATCGAATCAAACAAGCTCACGCGTTTATCGTCCACGCTCGGGATCCGTATCCTTTACCACCAAACAAAGATATCCCTTGGCTTTTAACCACTTTAGAGAATCCAGTTTATACTCCTCTTTTAAAAAGACCGGAGTATATGTCGCAATTTCATTTACTACGAAGTTACAGATTAGATTCCGACTTCCCTACTCCTCTGTTCAAGAAACCAAATTTAGATCCTCCTGTACCATTTAAAGACAAAACCGGTACGATTATGGCCGCATTTATTAACGACGAACCGGTGAGGACCGAGTACCTCAGACAATTAATGAGATATATCCCGGTAGATTCTTACGGTAGATTCTTGCACAATAAGGCAGGACTCATCCAAAGTTATGAATCCAATTTTAAAAATATGAAATCGAAGTTACAAAAGACATACAAATTTGCTATAACATTTTTCAACCAAGACTGCGACTACTTTGTCGATGATCAAATTCTACATGCGCTGTACGCTGGCTCTGTGCCAATCGTCATGAGCACAGACAAGAATTATGAGTTTTTACCAGGAAATCTTAAAAACGCTATCATTAACGTAAGGGATTTCAAAAATCCCCGAGAACTAGCCGAGCGTTTAAAGTTTTTGATGAATAACAAAACGGAATATAATAAGCATTTAGAATGGAAGCGAAAAGGTCTGGTTGATATAAGTCAAACAATTATTGGAAAATATTGGGATAATAAATTCCATCATTGGTAGTGTAAAATATGTCAAGCTATTGCTCAAGGGAAATGGCATAAACAGGGACTTAAGGTCGATCTTTGCCAGACAAGGCAGTTCAATGCTTGGGGCATAAATCCAGGCTATATATAGTGCCCATGTTGGTTATGTTTGTGACAACGTATAAAGCATTGTTTTGTACATTGGTTTTGTTGGAATGGAGCCAAAAGCGACTGTGTAAATTATATTCTCAGTTAAAAGTTTAAGAAATTTATACTTTAATATAGTTAAAAAAATTATATATAAACTACATAACACTGTCTCTGGTGGTATGCTAGACGACGAAAGCTTAGATATAACTACAATCCTGGCCAAAACGTTGTGGACAACCGACAGACATCGGCCTTGAATTGCGTTTCCCGAAATTAATATGCCCGCCGCTTCTTCAAGTCAATGTTCAATTAAATTTACGTTAAATAATAAGTGTAAATAATGCGGATATGATACAACATTGACGAGAGAGAGTGGGGTACTTGATGCATGTAAAGTCAAGTTTTAGTTGTTTGTTAAGTGTCAAGATAAATTTTGGTCTGGATTGGATAATCCCCCACCCCAGCACTCGAAAATCACAAAAAGTCGGTCCCAGTTTTGGCATTTGAGACTCTATCAAATGTCGGTCCAGATTTCTGCTACGAGAGTTGTATAATCCACAAAGCAGAGATATCTGGTGAAGACAGGAGCATTTTTTCATCCAAATTCTTCAACTTAGTGCCGAAAATGGCATTCCCGAGGTAGCATGCCTGGTCCCCCCCCCCCCATTTTCCCCCGCTCCTATTATGGTACTCTGTTACAGTTAAATCATGTTTTGCGTGCCATGTTTGCATTATTAACTATGGTTCCCAACTTAGC